ATAGTAGCAAGAGCTACAAAAAAGGGGAACCTTCTCATTAAAATCAAAGGAGGCTCGAACAAGGAGGCTTTCACCACTTAGATTACCAAAGCGATTGAATCCATAGGTAAGGTAGAATCAAAAGATGGAAAAACTGAGGTCCAACAAGTGTTGGCGGAAGCGCAGTGAAAGCCAGGAAGCAGGAGAGTAAAGGTCCTAGGACCCAATCGCAGAGGGATGAAGCTCGAGGTTGTAGTCACTAACCCAGAAGAAGTGGCCAGACTAGAGAAATTGGGACACGTAAAAATTGGTTTTATGAGTTGCCTAATTAAAAAAAGGGTAATGGTCGTCCGGTGTCATCGATGTCTGAGGTTAGGCCCATATTCCAACGAAGGCGCCAATTAACTATCAAAATTGAAATTGAAAATTTCTCCAAATGTTTGATTCTAATTGATGGTAATGCTTTGAACATAATAACTAATGCAAAGAGTATACAGACCTACCCTATCTGCAGTTTAATTCCAAAAATGTTTAATAACCTTTCGAACATAGATACAAGTGCTTTCTTTCCAAATCCTCCGTCACTTCAGTGTAAGTCACTTCAGAATGAGTCCTCTTCGTACTTAGATATTTCCAGATTTTATTCTGTAAAGAAGAATTAAAATCATTTAAATTAAACTCAATGAAAGACTTTAAATTACAAAATTGTTTCAACATTTTAAAAATAACAAATTAGGAAATAGCATTACCAAAATAATAAGAATTTCTCGACTTTTGATGAATCGACATTTTATCACTTTCTTTCCTTTAGTAAACATATTACTTTCAAAATATTTTCTATTGTATAATAAATAATTTATAATGTATAATAACATATAATATATTATTAACAAATTTAAACTTATTTTAATAGTTTTTGTTTCGTGTATGATTTTTAAATATTTGCTTCTAACGTATTTATACAAATTCGCTAGGCTAATTTGCATACATTATGGCTAATAATGAAAAATTGGGGAAGGTGAATACACGAAGATAAGTGCTTTATCAAGTATTAGTAAATAAAAAACATATTTTTTATTTAATATTAAAAGAGTGAGTAAATATTAAAATCATATTTTAAAATAGAAACAAAATAATTTATGTTTACTCTCCGTTTAAAAAAAGTACATAATAAAATAAATATTTATTCATTGTGAAATTACAGATAAACTGTTTCATTAACAAAATAATTTATGTTTACTCTCCGTTTAAAAAAAGTACATAATAAAATAAATATTTATTCATTGTGAAATTACAGATAAACTGTTTTAAAAATTGATGATTAGAATAAAAAAATATTGTCAGGTATGTAAAGTTATTATAATAAAAAATAAATAAATTTCTAAACAAATATTCTTCCAAGTGTCCATAAAGGTATCTAATTATTTGAGGTAAGATAAAAAATTAAAAAATCCAAAATAAAAAACATATTTTCCTTTTTACATTTGTTTAAATGAATTAATACATACCACGAATTTCTAATACAAAACCTTCAAATTTTTCCATTTCAGACAATAATTTCTTTTCAAATAACATAATTTTTGAATAACAATCATATAAAATTATTACATAAAAATGATTTAATAAATAATTTGATTGAAATATTTCCAAATTAATTGAATTTTAAGGGCATCTGAACCATCATGACGTCACAGTATTAAAACCCATATTCAAAAATTTTTTTAAATTCTCCTGCAAAACTTTAATTATCTTTATAAATAATAAAATTCTTTTTAGAAATTTAATTATTTTAAAAAATGTCAATTCTGGGCAAAATTTGAATTATTTTCAAAAACTTTCTTTAATTCAATGATTTTTAATATCTACTCGTTTAATAAAATTTTACAAAAGAATTTAATTATTTAAAAAAAATTTTTCATAAAATTCTTCTCAAAAATTCAATTATTTTCAAAAATAATAAAAATTTCACAGGAATTCAATTATTTCAAATTTTTTATAAATTTTTTTGCAATAATTCAATTATTTACATAAATAATAAATTTTTTTTACTGGTATTCAATTATTTTTAATACAATTTTAATCGAATTTCTAGAAAATTGAAATTATTCTGAAAAATTGTTTTAAAATTCACCAAAAAATTTAATAGTTAAAAATTTTTTTAATCAAATTCTTTATTAAGTCATAAATAATAAAAATTTTACAGGAATATATTTACAAATTTTTTTATAAATTTCTTCGCAATAATTCAATTATTTTCATAAATAATAACATTTTTACAGGGATTCAATTATTTATATAAATAATAAAATTCTTGTAGGAATTCAATTATTTTCATAAATAATAAAACTCATTGCAGAATTTCAATTATTTTTATTGCAATTTTAATCGAATTCCTCGAAAAATGTAATTATTCTTAAAATTTTTATTAAAATTCGTCCAAAGAATTAAATGATTTAAAAAATGTGTTGTCAACATTTTTAATGAGAATTTAATTTCAAGAAACATGATATTAATAAATTATTTATGTTTGTATTTAAATAATTGAATTCTCGTAGAATTTACTGATAAAAATGGTTTTAAAAATGAATTTCAGTTAAAATTTTAGATTATAATTAAATATTAAAAGCATTATTACGTGGATTTTTAGAAATAATTAAATTTTGAAAAAGTTTCAAACTAAAATAATTGAAATTCTTAATTTTTCATATTTTTGCCAAAAAAATTCTGTAGAATTAATTTTTTTTAAAAGTTTAATAGGATTTTTATTAGATTGCTCAAAAAATGTAAATATTCTTAAAAATTTAATTTCAATTCCTTGAAAAAATCAATTATTTAAAAAAATGTTTTTTTACATTCTTTAGAAGAATTGAATTATTTACAAAAATATTAGAATTTTTCACAGGAATTCAATTATTTTCAAAGATTTGAAAAAAATTGTTCGAAAGAAATCTATTATTTTAAATACAATTTTAATTAAATTTTTTTTCAAATAATTCAATTATTTTTTAAGATTTTAATTAAATTTTCCCCATGAATTCAATTATTTATGAGAAATAATTCTTCGAAAAAATTCAATTATGTCGATAAAAAACAAAAATATTCCCGAAATTTCAATTATTTTGAGGTATTTTAATAAAATTTTTTGTAAAATTCAATTACTTTTGTAAATAACAATATTCTTCACAAGAATTCAATTATTTTTCAATGTAATAAATTTCATCTTGGAAATTCAATTATTTAAAAAAATTCTAATTAAATCATTGGCAATTATTTTTATAAATAATAAAATTCTTTTAGAAATTCAATTATTTTTATAAATATTAAAACTCATTGCAGAATTTCAATTATTTTTAATGCAATTTTAATCGAATTCCTCGAAAAATGTAATTATTCTTAAAAATTTTATTAAAATTCGTCCAAAAAATTAATGATTTAAAAAATTTGTTGACAACATTATATATAACGTGAATTTTTAGAAATAATTAAATTTTGAAAAAGTTTCAAACTAAAATAATTGAAATTCTTAATTTTTCATATTTTTGCCAAAAAAATTCTGTAGAATTAATTCTTTTGAAAAGTTTAATAGGATTTTTATTGAAATTATTTCAAGTTTTTATTTTTCAAAATTATATTTAATTGCAAAATTTCCGAATAATTAAAATTTTGTAAAATTGAATTGTAAACGAATGAATTTGAAAATTCTTGTAAAACTCATGGCAGCGTTTCAATTATTTTTCATACAATTATAATTGAATTCCTTGAAAAAAGTAATTATGTTCATGCAATTTTGAATAAAATTTGACAAAAGAATTCAATTATTTAAAAATTTGTTACTAAAATTCTTTATGAGAATTGAATTTTAGCCGAATTGAATTTTCAGAAATATTCAATTATTCAATAAATTATTTACTTTTTCATTTAAATAATTAAATTCTTGTAGAATTTTCTAATAAAAATTGATTTTCATTTCATAAAAATGAATTTTAGTTAGAATTTTAGACTATAATTGAATATTAAAAGCAATATAGCGTGAATTTTTAGAAATAATGAAATTTTGAAATTAATTTTTATTAAAAAGTTTAATTGAATTTTCTTTTATATTATTTGAAGTTTTTATTTTCTAATATGCATTTTTAATTAAAAAGTTTATGAATAATTGAAATTGAATATTGTAAACAAATGGATTTGAAAATTGCCAAAGAACTTTTTCGAAAATTATTAAAAATAATTGATATAAAGTAAAATTGTAGTTAAAAATTTTTGAAAATAGTAATTGAATTGAAATAATGAAAATAATTTTGAAGAAGTATAATATTTTTATAATATAAAATAACGATTTTATTACTTGGTCATCTCTAATTATTATAAAATATGAAGAAATCGATGACTCCGAGTCTTTTACTCGGAGTTATCGATATCTTCATGTTTTATAGTTATACAAAAATTTAATGAACTAAGATTTCATTCACTGTAAAAAATAACACCAAAATTGATTATTTTAATCTTTTTTGGTGTTAATTTATTATTGTTAATTTAATCTGCAATACTTTTTAATACCTCACGATTTACTGTGTATTGATTAATAAGATAAATTAGGTAATAATTTAATCTAATTGAAAAACATGATATTTTTATGGCTTTATTTTAGTGAGTCAGGTATAATAATAAGTAAATTTATCTCAGCGAAAAATGATAGGTAGTGATTATATAATCTACAGGACCACCCCGATGATGGTAAATTTCCTCCTTTTCATCAGACACGAGTATACGTATTAATAGTATACCATATATCTATAAACAGTGGGAGAAAAAAAAAACAAAAAATATTCTGATTCCTGGACGGATTTGCAATGTGTTGTGGCAATATGTAATGACAAAAGGACAAAACTGAAAAGGTATTAAGGGTCCCTCATTAAAATCTCCGGAAAGACGTTGTTGGTGCACGCATTGCACATAGTATAGAAGTGAAGTATCGCTAGGTCACGCTAGATTTCCAAGTGAGAGCTTTTAATTGATGATAAAACCACTCCCTAAAATGTAAAGCTGCCAAAATCATGCGTCTATGATATTTGAAGAGGCGGGACCTTTTGTTTTTACGGAAAATTGTCCCCGTCTCATCATTGGTTGTACGACTTAAAAATAGTTATTTTGGGGTGTGACTTGACACATGCAGCACGTCCTCATACACACAATCACCAACGATTAGGAGTTGAGTGGAAGATGTACACACATATGGACCACTTACGCATTCAAAAGTGATCCATGTGGACCGTCGGCGACATTTGCTAGAAGATGCCTAACTAAGTCTTCACTCTGATCTCCGGCATCAAGGATTTCATATCTTTTCAATCTTCGCGCCGCGATATTTTCACAAGTTCCTTGTTTATTACTGTCAAGTTTTATAAAAATTATTATTTAATCTTCTATTTTTGGTGTTTGGATCTATTTTTACAAGAAAAAATTGAAATATTCTAGTGGTGGTTTCGGATTTTCTCAGAGCATTTCTTGAAGTGTTGTTGTATCCTAGTGACAAGTGTTTGGTGTATTTGTGATGTGTCTACGATTTTAATTCTTCCACTATTCGAGAATTAAATACTTGAATTAGAAGAAGATATTAGTGCCGTATTAGTGTTTAGTACCGAAAATAAACCCCCCAAAAAAAAGGAACAGGGAAAGGAAGTAGAAAAAGAATATTAAGTGAAAGAAGAATTTGGAAAAATGAGTTTTTGGGGGATGAGGTAGGAAGTTAATTTTTGACGGTATCATATTTCAAAAAGGAAGTGCAAAGTTATTTGTGAAATGATGACCCTCATGACAGACGTCGGACCATACCAGTACGAATCGTACGACAGTTATCATCATCACCATCATCATAGACGGCACTTTTACTCCAGCAGTGATGCGGATTATTTGCAGAGATACGTGTCTGATCGTGATAGGGAGGAGCAAACAAGAATTGCAAGTACCGATAGCAGTTTGGCATCAAACGGAAGTGTCAACTCTGTGGATTGTCGCCACGAACATCTCAGGTTAGTAGGTTTCCGCCTTTGACCACTTCTGTACGACTTGAGTGGGCACAATTTGCATAATTTATGCAGACCATGTCCTTTGAGAATGAATCGCATCCCTCGAGTCCATTGACAATATATATATATTCAATATCGGAATTTTCCCTCATAATCACGATTCGAGATTGGTTTTCAATTTATTTTTCCCTTCATTTTCATCTATTTTGATTTTTATGGTTTTCTTTAATTTAAAGGAAAAATAGAACAAAAAATCAAGAGAGAGAGAGAGAGTTTGAAATATATTTCTGATAAAAGAGTTTCTTGGAAAGAATGTAATAAATTTTTATTTCTACTGAATGAAACTGAATCCTGACCTAAATAGTAATATTATTTCAATATTGCAATGCCATTCGGTATTTTTCTGAAAAATAGGAAGACAATAGTTGTTTATTATTTTAACGGTTGTTATAACAATATTACTGGATATTACTTTTTATAATGTAATAATTAAATGCAATAGTTAATAGTTAATAGTTAAAACATGTCAACTGGGTTAATGAATAAAATCTGAAAAATGGTAAATTTAAATAAAAACAGCAGCTCTGGAAACTATCAAAAAAAGGTTAGAAGTAGCAGTCATAATAGATTTGGCTAAAGCAAAACATTTCTTGTACTCTCTAACTCTGAATCAATTAAAATTTTACCTAATTCGAATGAGTCAACTTCTTGCTTTTAATTTAGTTAAAATCAGATTCATTAGTAAAAAAAACTTCACGATTAATTTTTACTAATTTTAAATGTAAATAAAAAATTTTCTATTGTTTCTGATAAAGACAGCAGGGTTTGTCGAATCATTAAAAAGTAAAATTTTTATTTATTTAAAACTTTTTTCTGACCATAGATTAATTATTATTTTCGTCTTCAATTTTAAACATTTTTCCCACGCAGAACTCTCATAACTTTATAATTAACTGCTTCATACACTATGCCATGCCGTTCGCACAATTAAGTTGGAAACTGCTTTTTCATCACTGCAAAAAATCGTTTATTTTCTAAAATTTACAGACTGCAATTTTTTCTCTATATAAGACATTAAAAGCTATTAAAATTGTTTAAAAAAAATAAAACCTTAAGCAAATGAATATGTTATATACCATAAAAAAATATATACAACTTTTTTTTGCATCAGATTTATATATTTATATTTGTTTCAAAGTTAGAAGAAAAGAAAATTTTAAACTTAAAATTTAAAATATAATCTAAAATTAGAATGTCGCATGTTTTTTCTCTTTTATTTCTCAGAATTAAAAAAAAAAGTTCAATATCGAGGAAACGAGTTTGTATTTTAATATAGAATTGCATTTCCCATCATTATTTGAAGTCGAGTCGTGCTCTAGAATTTCCGATCGGAATTGAAAAGAAATTAGGTTCAATCATTTCTTTTGCCTATTGCTGATTTGAAAAGGGAATGAAAATATTTCCAGATTTTGTATATATTTTTCAATCATTTTTCCCTATTTTGCTGTTGAATAAAAAAAGTTACGTATCACAGAAATAATATTAATTAAATTATTATAAAATCATAAATTGAAGTAAGCTGATTTAAAATTTGATTTTTAATATTAAATAAATGGTAATATTCAGGGGTGCATTCACGTAACTTTTACTGTCACTTTCACTCATGCAATTTTCACTTTCACTCAAAAAATGTTTACTTTTAGTGTCTTCAAAAGTTTTAATTTCATTTTCACCCCAAAAATATTCACTTTCCCTCAAACAATTCTCACTTTCACTTGAAAATTTTTCAAACTCGAACAAAAAAGTTCTCACTTTTCATTTTACAATAAAATTTTTTCTTTCACTCAAAAAATTTTCAATTTAAGAAAAAAAGTTTTTTACCTTTATTTATAAAATTTTTACATTCAATTAAAAAATTCTGACTTTTACTTTTCAAACACTCCTCACTCTTAATTTTACTTAAACCATTTTCACTTTTACCCAAAAAAATTCTCATGTTCACTGTCATCACAAGTTTAAATTTCAACATCACCCAAAAATTGTTCACTTTCACTCAAACAATTTTCACTTTCACTTACACTTGAAAAATTTTTAATCTTGCACAAAAAATTCTTACTTTCAATTTCACACTTTTCTCTTTTTCAGTCAAAAAGTTTTCACTTTCAATTTCACCCAAAAAATATTTACTATCACTCATGTAATTTTTACTTTTACTTGAAAAAACTAAATTTTAGTTTATTAAAAAAATCTTTAATTTGTGTTTCAAATAACAAATTATCACTGTTACTCAAAAACTTGTCATAAGTTTAATTTCACTTTCACTAACAAAATTTGCACTTTCACTTTAATTCAAAGAATTTTCATTTTTAATTTCATCCTCGATTTCATCCAAAGATTTCTTTAGGTGAATTAAAAATATTTTTCAGTGAAAATAAAAGTGAGAATGATTTTAGTGAAAGTGAAAACTTTTTCGGTGAAATTGAGAGTGAAACTCTTATGAGTGAAAATGAGAATTTTTTAAGTGTAAGTAAAATTTTTTTTAGTGAATATGAGAATTTTTCGAGTGAATGTGAAAAATTTTCAATTTTAATTTTACCTACAAAAATTTCACTTTCACCCAAGAAATTGTCACTCAATTTAACCAAAAACGTGTTTACTTTCAATTCCTCGAAATAAAATTTCACTTTCAATTACAGCTAAAATATTTTTTCATTTTCAAACAAAAAATTTTCACTTTCACTTAAAAAATTTTCACTTTTACTCAAAAAAATTCTCACTTTTAATTTCGCCAAAAAAATATTTCACTGACAATCAAAAAATTTTCGTGTGAAATTATTATAAGCGGAATTGTAAGTGGAATTATTTTTATGAAAAATAATTCAATAAAGAATAATTGAAAGTTAAAGTCAAAATTTTTTCAGTCAAAGTGAAAATATTTTACGTTAAATTCAAAGTAAAAATTTTTTTAGTGAAAGTGAAAATATTTTTTTGTGAAAAGTGAAAATTTTTTGGGTGAATTTGAAAATGAAAATTTGTTGGCAAAATCGAAATTAAGAATCTTTCAGAAGTAAAAATTCTTTAGGTGAAATTCTAAGCGGGAATTTTTTCATAGAAAATGAAAGTATTTTTGGTGAAATTGAAAGTGAAAATTTTTTAATTCACAGTAAAAATGAAAATTTTTGTGGTGAAAGTGAAAATATTTTATTGAATGATATTGAAAATGTTTTTATTGAAAGTGATAATTTTTTGAGTGGAAGTGAAAATTTTATTAGTTAAAGCGAACAATTTTGGCGTTAAAGTGCATTTTTCTGAGTGAAAGTGGAAATTTTTGCGTGAAAGTGAAAATTTCTTTGATAAAATTGAAAGTGAAAATTTTTTGTATAAATTTGAAAATGAAAATTTTTTGTCAAAATCAAAATTAAGATTCTTTTAGAAATAAAAATTCTTCAAGTGAAATTCTAAGCGGGTATTTTTCTCCATAGAAAGTGAAATTTTTTTTGGTGAAAGTGAAAGTAAAAATTTTTGAATTGACAGTAAAAGAAAAAAATTTTTTGTTGAAAGTAAAAATATTTTATTGGGCGAAATTGAAAATGTTTTGATTGAAAGTGATAATTTTTTGAGTGGGGGTGAAAATTTCGTTGATTTAAGCTAAAATTTCTTGCGTTAATGTGAAAATTTTTGCGTGAAAGTGAAAATTTCTTTGATTTTAAAACTGAAAATTTTTTAAGTGAAAGTGAATGTTACGTGAATTTTTTTTTAGTGAATTTGAAAATGAGAATTTGTTGGTAAAATTGAAATTAAGAATTTTTTTAGAAGTGAAAATTCTTTGGATGAAATTCTATGCGGAAATTTTTCCTTAGAAAGTGAAAGTATTTTGGTTGAAATTGAAAGTGAAAATATTTTATTGGGTGAAATTAAAAATGATTTGATTGAAAGTGAGGAATTTTTGGAGTGGAGGTTAAAATTTTGTTGGTTAAAGCGAACATTTTTTGCGTCAAAGTGAAATTTTCTGAGTGTAAGTGAAAATTTCTTTCATATAATTGAAAGTGAACATTATTTTGGTAAATTTGAAAATGAAAATTTTTTGGCAAAATCAAAATCAAGAATCTTTTAGAAATGAAAATTCTTTGGGTGAAATTCTAAGTGGGAATTTTTTCATAGAAAGTGAAAGTATTTTTGGTGAAAGTGAAAATTTTTTAATCGACAGTAAAGGTGAAATTTTTTTTGTGAAAGCGAAAATATTTTATTGGGTGAAATTGAAAATGTTGTGATTGAAAGTGATAATTTTTTGAGTGGGGGTGAAAATTTTGTTGGTTAAAGCGAACATTTTTTGCGTTAAAGTTAAATTTTATGAGTGAAAGTGAAATTTTATGAGTGAAAGTGAAAATTTCTTGAAAAATTTTTAAATGCTGAAATTGATGATGGAATTTTTTTGATGAAATTGAAAATTTTTGTGTGAATTTGAAAGTGAAAAATTTTTTAGTGAAAGTGAAAGTTACCTGAACGCACCCCTTTGGTGCGTAATATTAATAAAATGTATAGTAATATTAATATAAATTAAATTATAATATAATAATATTAATTAAATTTGTAAAAATAGAATTCAATTTTTATTGGAAAAAGAAGTCAATAGCAAAAAAATAATGAATCAGATGTCAGTAGTCTGAAATTACTTCAAGTATATACGGCTTATATTTGTTCCGTATTGAATTCCATTTCCTATCGAACAGTTTTCCTCCATCCTTTCTGTATCGTCTTATAGCTTTCAAATTGCTTTCATTAAAGTTCAAGTTTTCCTTTTTTTAAATTCTAACTTTTAGTAGATTCGATTTTTTTTCCCCAAAAGAAACGTATTTTCTGTAATTAACTGAAATTTAGAAGCAAAAAAAAAGTTGATTCGGTATGTTGAGCATCCTGATTTGTAGTGAGGTTGACACATTAATTGTTCTGCCGTGCTTCTGAGATTGAATCTACAGCGCGAAGGAATGAATATCTGTTGTGAATGTGCCGATGGCTTTATTGCCCTTCAAAGTGTGTTTTCACCCTATTCCGCGAGTGACGCGCGTTTCTTTTTATAACTTTGCTTTTTGGCCCCTTTTTTGGTTCACAAATCGTGTTGCAAAATTTGTTAGCGCAGAGATGAACATCTGGAAACATTCCAATAGATCCTACGGTGTAACAGCATAGCGCCTAGGACATAATTACACATAATTTACAATAATTGCTCTCGCGCGTGTACACAACATATGGCCTGAACGATAACTGGTCTGGATTATTATTATTGTTTGAATGGGACACTTTGTTTTACCAGAAAATTAGTCGATCAACACTGATGACCCAAAAACAGTATACATTAAATTTCACCTTCTTGATTAATTCTATATTCAAATTTAAGGTGGTGTATTATGCTCACGAAATCAGAGTTAGCGACAAAACTATAGCTGCAAAAATAGATCATTTTTAACCTATATGGGTCATTCTCTAGAAAAAAGCCACCTAAATTAAAAATTATTGCATTCACTCGAAGCTTTGGTAAATTGTTGCTACATTCCTATGGCCAAAGGCAAAAATAATTTTGGGACCAAAAAATTACACATTCTTTGGTCCCAAAATTATTTTTGCCTTTGGCCATAGGAATGTAGCAACAATAGTACTGAATTTATTTAATAATTAATGTCGAGAGAAAAAATAAATTGCAGACTTTGCATTCAATACTTAATTTCAAAAAAAGAAGCAAAAAGTAGCTTTCAAACTAAAAAAAAGTAATAAAAAAGTAGCTATCGAAAAATTAAACTTGACGCCCAAAAAACTCGTTTTTAGACACTTCACAAAACTATGACAAAAATTTCATTCTATATTTTATTTTTCTGATTTTTTCCTAATTTTCATCAAAAATATTTACTTCTTTCTTATCCTGCTAATAAATTGAATTTCTACAACGAATTTTATTATTTATGAAAGAATTTAAATATTTATAAAAATAATTTAATTCTTGCGAAGAATTTTATAAAAATTTTTAAATAATTGATTTCTTTCGACTAATTTTATGCAAATTCTAATTTAAATCATTGAATAACTGAGAAATTTTTATTTCTCATGAAAATAATTGAATTCTTACGAAGTTTTTTACAAAAATATTTTTAAATAATTAAATTCCAAGAAGAAATTTAGTACTTTCAAAAATAATTGAATTCTTGTGATGAATATTGTTATTTATAAAAATAATTGAATTTTGCAAAGAATTTTATTAAAATGCCTCAAAATAAGAAGAATTTTATTAAAATCTTAAAAAATAATTGAATTATTTCAAAAAATCTAATTAAAATGTATAAAAATAATTAAATTCCAGATTTCAAATTTTTATTTTTCATGAAAATAATTGAATTCTTACGAAGATTTTTACAAAAATTTTTTTAAATAATTGAATTCTGTATGGAAATTTTATGAAAATGGTAGATATTGAAAATCATTGAATTGCAAAAAGTTTTTAAAAATAATGAAATTTTACGAAAAAATCTATTAAAATTTTTGAGAATTATTGAATGTCTGTGTGGCATTTTATTAAATTTTTTTGAAAATAATTGAATTCCTAAAAAGCATTTTATTATTTATGAAAATAATTGAATTCTAGTGAATGATTTTATTAGAATTTTTTTAAATAGCTGAATTTTCAAGAAGAAATTTATTAGTTTTAAAAATAATTAAATTTTTGGGATGAATATTGTTATTTATGAAAATAATTGAATTTTGTAAAGAATTTTATTAGAATATTTAATTTAATATTTTGCTATTTATCGACATAATTGAATTCTTTCGAAGAATTTTTTATCATAAGTAATTGAATTCTTGGAAAGAATTTTATTAGAATCTAAAAGAATTGTATTAAAAATAATTGAAAATCTGCAATAAATTTTTTTATTTATGAAAATAATTGAATAGTTGCTAAGAATTTTATTAAAATGTTTAAAAAGAATTGGGTTTCTGTGAAACATTTTGATATTTTTGAAAACAATTGAATTTTTCATAAGAATTTTATAAACATTTTTTTTTTAAATAAATAATTGAAATTCTTTGATGAGTTTTATTATTTATGAAAATAATTGATTTTGTTGCTTAGAATTTTATCAAAAATTTTTTTAAAACAATTGAATTTCCATGAAAAATGTTTTTATTAGTTAAAGCAATTGGATTATTGTAAAAAATTGTATAAAAATATTGTTAAATAATTGATTTTTTCGAAAAATTGAAATTTAATTTTTAATCATAATTACATTTTTTGAGCAATTCCTGTAAAATTGCATTAAAAATAATTGAAATCCTACTATGAATTTTATTATTTATAAAAATATTTAAATAGTTGCTATGAATTTTATTAAAATTTTCAAAAAAAATTGACTTCCTGAGAAGAATTTTCTTATTTATGAAGATAATTGAATCATTACGAAAAATTTTATTAAAATGATTAAAAACAATTGAATTTCTGTGAAACATTTTGTTATTTTTGAAAATAATTGAATTTTTCAAAGAATTTTATTAAAATGCCTCAAAATAATTGAATTTTCGGGAATATTTGTGTTATTTATCGACAAAATTGAATTTTTTCAAAGAATTATTTATCGTAAATAATTGACTTCTTGGGATGAATTTTATTAAAATCTTAAAAAATAATTGAATTATTTAAAAAAAATGTAAATTAAATTGTATTTAAAATAATTGATTTCTTTTGAACAATTTTATTAAAATATTTAAAAATCATTGAATTTCTGTGAAACATTTTGTTATTTTTGAAAATAATTGAATTCTTGTGATGAATTTTATTATTTATGAAAATAATTGAATATGTAGTTGCTACGGATTTTATTAAAATTTTCATAAATAATTGAATTCTTGAGAAGAATTTAAAAAAAGCATTTTTTTTAATAATTAATTTTTTCGATGAATTGAAATAAATTTTTAAGAATAATTACATTTTTTGAGCAATTCCTGTAAAATTGTATTAAAAATAATTGAAATTCTACGATGAATTTTATTATTTATGTAAATAATTGAATAGTTGCAACGAATTTTATTAAAATGTTTAAAAAAACTGAATGTCTGTGAAAAATTTTGTTATTTTTGAAAATAATTGAATTTTTCATAAAAATTTTATAAATATTGTTTAAAATTTTGTTATAAATAATTGACTTCTTGCGAAAAACTTTATTTGTGAAAATAATTGAATTTTTCGATTAATTAATTTAAAATAGTATTAAAAGTAGTAATTGAAATTCTTCAATGAGTTTTATTATATTTATGAAAATAATTGAATTTTGGATGAATTTTATCAATTTTTTTTTTTAATTGAATTCTTTTGTGAAATTTTATGAAATTACTAGATATTGAAAATAATTGAATTTCGAAAATTTTTTGAAAATAATTGAATCCTTTTACAATATATAGTGGCTTTTTGTCCCTGAATTCTAAGAAAAGTATCCAAATAGTAGCATATCGTAAAAAAAGTACTAAATAGTAGATTTTAGTAGATGAGCGCGAATCCTGAAATTGCAATTAACTAACTCTATAAATGACGATATGATTTTATTATAGTAGGTAATAAATAAAGAATGACGATTAAAGAGTCTCGTTAAAAATTAAACTGTTCTCTTTTTTTATGAGCCATTGAAATCTCGCCCTAATAAAAAATGCTCGGAAGTATAAAAATGTGTTTTTATAGAAAAAAATGAAACGTTTATAGATCACATTCTCGTTATATACCTGACTCGGATGATGCGTCGTCGATAGTGTCGGCGGATGCATCTGCAGATTTGGGATCGCCCTCAGCAGATGGTGAGGAAACGACCGAGAGCGAAACAGTGGAACATGTGCCGCATCCTCATGTTTTGGATGCAGGTTCACCCCATGGACCACGAAGATGTCTCCTCTGGGCTTGTAAGGCTTGCAAAAAAAAGACCGTCACGGTTGATCGAAGAAAGGCAGCAACTCTTCGTGAAAGACGTCGACTTCGAAAGGTTAGTCACTCTTTTCTATTTTTATTTACTTATTTTCTTTTTATTCCCTTACTCGCATACATATCGCTTTCTTCTTTCTGCTTCAATGCACAATTTCTTATAAACGCGAAATATATATATTGTTTTTATTTGTGATTTTCATCTATATATATATATATATATATATAGGAATAGTGACATTGTTCTCTTTCTCTGATTCGCTTCTTTATTGTTTCTTATTAATGTAAAAAAAGTAATAAAATCATTATTTTATATTATAAGAATATTACACTTCTTCAAAATTATTTTCATTATTTCAATTCAATTATTATTTTCAAAAATTTTTAACTACAATTTTACTTTATATCTATTATTTTTAATACTTTTCGAAAAAGTTCTTTGGCAATTTTCAAATCCATTTGTTTACAATATTCAATTTCACGAAATTTCAAATAATTCTAAATTCTTTAATTAAATGCTTATTAGAAAACAAAAACTTCAAATATTATAAAAGAAAATTCAATTAATCTTTTTCAAAAAAATTAATTTCAAAATTCAATTGATTCTAAAAATTCACTCTATATTGCTTTTAATATTCAATTATAATCTAAAATTTTAACTGAAGAAATTTATAAAAAAGTTTGTAAATAATTGAATTCCTGTAAAATTTTTTATTATTTATGAAAATAATTTAATGTTTGCGTAGAATTGTATATTCAAATTTTTGTTAATAATGGAATTCTTTTGGAAAATTTTATTGAAATAGTAGATATTGAAAATCATTGAATTTTAGAAAACTTTTGAAAATATTATAATTTTTAAAAAACATATAATTATAACTTATTATGACAGTTAAAATAGAGTGAAATTATAATTTTCATTGGACAAATTGAAAATTTTCTTCTACAAAATGCATTTTAAGCGGTAGTATATCGATTATTATCCCTTTAAATATTAACAAGGTTGATTAAAATTTTATGCAATACTAAATATTAGACCCACTTTCAACTTTTATTTTAAAAAAATTTGTTCTCTCATTAATATAATTTACTTTACTAAACATATTTTCAGAAATTAGAAGTAGTTTGTAAATTTGTAACTTTACTTATTAAATAATATATCGAAACATGAATTAAAAATTTTTAAAGTTACAACTTTTAAATTTAGTCGAATTAAATTCAAATAGTTTATTAAAATTGACATAAATTTTATTATTCATTTTTTTTTACATTAATTTTTCAATTTAAAATTTTTAATTAAATGTTAAATTTAAATATACTTTATATTATAATAATTAATTATTATTATTTAGATGAATTATTAATTAATTATCATTTATAATTTACATAGGTATTATTATATTATTATTAATAATTAATAAAGGACGTTTTCATAAATAAGAACATTTTTTTAAGGAATTCAATTATTTTCATAAAAAATAATTTAAAATTCTAGAAAATAATAATTGAATTAAAATGATGAAAATAATTTTGATGAAGTTACAGTAACAATATTCTTATAATATAAAATAAATGATTTTATTACTGGGTCATAATTTATTAGGAAACATGAAGAAATCGATCACTTCGAGTATTTAGAAAAAAAAAAATTTTAAATTAATTATAATTTAGAAAAAAATGGAATTTTTTCGAAATGTGTTAAAATTTTTTTAAAAATTGAATTCTTTTGAGAAATTTAATTAAAATTGTTTTAAAAATAATTGAATTTTTGTAAAGATTTTATTATTTATAAAAATAATTGAAATGTTTCGTAGAATTTATTAAAATTTTAACAAATAATTAAATTGTTATGAAGAATTTTATAGAAATATTTAAAAAAATAATGAAATTTTTTCGAGAAATTCAATTAATGTTGTTTCGAAAATAATGGAATTTCTTTTAAGGATTTTATTAAAATTAAGTATATTTAAAATAATTGAATTCACCATAAGAATTTTATTATTTTTTGCGAAAATACTTGAATTCTTTCAATTTTTTTGACGAATATTATTAAAAATTTCATTGAAAGTAATTTAATTTTTAAATAGAATTTTTTAAAAATATTTTTCAGAATAATTGAATTATTTTTAGAGAATTTTAAATTCTTGTTGAAATTGAATTTTATGTAAATTTTTGAAAATAATTAACTTTTTTCGTGTAATTTTATTTAAATTGAATTAAAAATTATTTAATTCCTGCAAATAATTTTAGTATTTATAAAAAAATAGTTGAATTGTTTCGAAGAATTTATTAAAATTTTAGGAAAATAATTGAATTCTTTCGCGAAATTTTATTAAAATTTTTAAAAATATGAACAGTACTAATTAATATTGTTCTTAATAAGTGAATTTTTTAAATTTTGATTATGAAATTATTTAGAAAATTTATATTTCAAAATAAAAAATTTTGTAATTTGCATAATGCATAATTCATTATGCATTATTCAATTTATTACTGTTATGCAAATTCCAAAATTTTTTATTTTGAAATATAAATTTTTAAAATAATTTTATAATCAAAATTTAAAAAATTCACTTATTAAGAACAAAATTAATTAGTACTGTTCATATTTTAAAAATTGAAAGAATTCATTTATTTTCAAAAAATAAATAAAATTCTGAAGAACATCTTCTCAACAATAAGTGTATAAAAGCAGAATTTAAAAATTTGTTACATCCCGTTAATTTTAAGCATTAAATCTGTTTTATAGTAATGATAATACGGTTAGCAGTATTATTTATAAATTTTTAAAGATGCTAATTAGGATTCAGTTGGTAACAACTTTTAATTAAAGGGGACACAAAGGGAATGTGTACGTATTTAGCAGCATTCTAGAATAATGAACCGGAAAGTCTTATGCGCTGTGTTTTTGTGATATCTCTGTTTTGCAAAAAAAAAAAAAAAAAAAAAAAATCTTGCTGTAAAAGGCGGGTTATATTATTTTCAAAAGTAGCACTTTTCCGTTGCTAATGTAGAAGACGCTTTTAAGAGCTTGATTACTACTTCTGGGAATGTTTCTTTGTAACAACCCTCTTCTGTTTTTTGGTTTCTTCTTTATCTTCTTCTTTCATTTCGACTCTCATCGCTCTTTATCTTTTCCTTCTCCCTTTTCTTTTGCACTCTTTTTTTTTACCATTAAAATGTCGATTTTCTTGCAACCATCGTCTCTTTATTTCTCAGAAAGAAAAAAAATATAGTTGCAGTTGCAAATTATGTAGAACTTGTTTCCACTTGTTCCATTCATTCCATTGAATCATCAAAATTATATTATGGGATAAATTTCTCTCCACTTGAATATTGAATTTTCATCGGGTGATGTTCTTTTTTTCTTCTTATTTTCTTTTCTGTCACGTATTTTTTAGCTTTTATGTATTTTTATATTTATTGGCATATGAATAAATATAAACATAAGCAAAAAAAGTGGATTAGATATATTTAGACAGAGGGATGAAATAAGACTGAGGGAAAATAAAAAATTTAATCTTCTAAAATGAATATCCTTTACTTTGGGGATTGAAAAATTTCCAATTTTTATACGTTTTTCTAGACTTTTAGCGGGAGAGAATTTATGTCAATTGATATGACTGCACGTTTTCCTTGAAGGAGTTTAAAAAGAGATTTTTACAAAATTTTATGTCTCCTTGAAAGAATTTTACTTCTCTTTGTAGGGTTTTACATTCTTGTTATGGGTACAAATTCTCTTTTTTTTTAAACATTGAATCAATCACAGTACGTGGGTTGAATTTTTAAAATATTTGGCACGTTATTTTCTTTCAAGAAACTGGGTCGAAGTGACCATGCAAGGTAAAAAAGCGAAGCTCTCACACTTTCTAACACTTTTCTAAAAAAAAGTTTCTAAATTATGTATCGAGAAGTTTCGAGGCTTTAACAAATTATGAAAAGTACACAAAACAATGGATTATTTAATTTCAAGTAATTTATGAAACTACTCTTCAAGTTTTGCAAAATTGGTATAATAATATTTAATAATAAAGTAACATTGATAAAAAAAAATATCATTCTAAATTTAATAATCTTTGGTAATATAGTCGTTTCTAGTCAAACAAACTTGGAAACTATATTCATTCAACTTACATGCGATGATAATCATCAGAAAGGACTCGCAACATTACGGTCGATATTAACTGAATTCCGAAGTTGGTAAACTCAAACTTACTCCTTCACGTTTTGAACTTACTAATCAAGCAGTAAAGCCAGTTATTATACGTATATATATATAATGTAGCAGGAAGTACGAGAAGTCTATAGTTGTACATTTATATTAAATACACTTTGAATGAAAAAGAATGAAAAATAGTTAAATATTTCAATTTTGAGAATTAACTTTTCTCAAAATTCTAACTTTTATTTTGTGCATCAAATGATTTTTTAAAATTATTTTAATGATTTATGAAAATATTTTCTTCAGGTGAATGAGGCTTTTGAGGTGTTAAAAAGGAGGACCAGTAATAATCCTAATCAACGTCTACCAAAAGTGGAAATTTTAAGAAATGCAATCGAATATATCGAAAGTCTTGAAGCAATATTACAAGGAAATCGAGGATCGGGACATCAAGATCACGTATCAGTTGAACATATGGTGAGTGAAAATATTTGCTTCTTTAATAATTACCCTTTAATCTTTTATTCTATATTTATTTTTGCAAAAGTTTTCGCTAAACTGCAGTATAAATTCAATCTCAGTGGCAAATATATACTATTGTAGGAGTGTAGAACAATTTCATTTCGAATTTGTCTTAGAATTTTGAATTTGGCTTTAAGTTTCAGTGAAATTATCTCTTCCTGCATGAAGCCGGTTTCCAGACACCGTAATGATGTATCATATTACTAAATGTGTTTACATAAATTTCTTAATCTTAAAGCAAATATTAACCTAACTTATCCTACCTATCCGCCAAGTGCCAGCTTCCGTCATGTATTTCCGTTACGTTATCTAATGACTGCCCCCACAGCACCGAAACTTTACTAAAAATTTATTAAATATTTACTTGCAATATTCGGAATATTTAATTGCAATGTTTATTGAAAGTTGTGTACAGATTTAAATGTCCCGATTAAATAAATGTTTAGCGCGAAGCTTTCCTGAACATTTCAAAAAAATCTTCGCATAATTATAATTATAATTATAATTATGCGAAGATGTAATTTCAAGTTCAGGAAATGTTCTGGAAAGCTTTGCGCTAAACATTTATTGAATCGGGACATTTAAATCTTTACACAATTTTTACTAAACTTTTCAGTCAAATATGACAAATATTGCAAGTAAATATTTAATAAATTTTTAGGATAGTTTCGGTGCTGTGGGGGTGCGTTCAGTATGACTTTAGTACAAAACTCTTTTGCACCAGTTTATACCATAAATTTGTTTCTTATGTTAGGCTCGATTTACACTGAGAAACGAAAATTATTGATTCAATATCGCGAATTCTATTGAATTAAATATCAATTCAAAAAAATTGAATAATAATTCATATAATTTACAACTAGAAGCACAATGTTGTCTATATATCACAGTAAATCGTGAGGTATTAAAAAGTATCGCAGATTAAATTAACAATTAAAATAATCAATTTTGGTGTTATTTTTTACAATGAATGAAATTTTAGTTCATTAAATTTTTTTATAACTATAAAACATGAAGATATCGATAACTCCGAGTAAAAGACTCGGAGTCATCGATTTCTTCATATTTTATAATAATTAAAGATGACCAAGTAATATAATCATTATTTCATATTATAAGAATATTATACTTCTTCAAAATTATTTTCATTATTTCAATTTAATTATTATTTTCAAAAATTTTTAACTACAATTTTACTTTATATCCATTATTTTTAATAATTTTCGAAAAAGTTCTTTGGCAATTTTCAAATCCATTTCTTTACAATATTCAATTTCACGAAATCTCAATTATTTTAACTGAAATTCATTTTTATGAAATGAAAATCATAATGTTTAGTAGAAAATTCTACAGGTATTTAATTATTTAAATGCAAAAGTAAATAATTTATTGAATAATTGAATGTTTCTCAAAATTTAATTCTCATAAAGAATTTTAGTAACAAATTTTTAAATAATTGAATTCTTTTCTAGTTTTTAACTATATAATTCTTGAATAAATCCGCATTATTTTTAATAATTTTTAAAAAAGTTTTTTGACAATTTTCAAAATTATTCGTTTACAATTCAATTTTACAAAATTTCATTTATTCGGAAATTCTGTAATTAAATATATATTGAAAAATAAAAACTTGAAAAAATTTCAGATAAAAATCCTATTTAAACTTTTAAAAATAATTAATTCTACAGAATTTTTTTGTCAAAAATATAAAAAATTAAGCATTTAAATGATTTTAGTTTAAAACTTTTTCAAAATTTAATTATTTTTAAAAATTCACGTTATATATAAGGCTTGTAATATTCAATTATAATCTAAAATTTTAACTGAAATTCAGTTTTAAAACCATTTTTATTAGTAAATTCTTCGAGAATTCAATTATTTAAATACAAAAATAACTAATTTATTAATTTCATGTTTCTTGAAATTAAATTCTCATAAAAAATGTTGTCAACAAATTTTTTAAATCATTAAATTTTTTGGACGAATTTTAATAAAATTTTTAAGAATAATTACATTTTTCGAGGAATTCGATTAAAATTGCATTAAAAATAATTGAAATTCTGCAATGAGTTTTAATATTTATAAAAATAATTGAATTTCTAAAAGAATTTTATTATTTATAAAAATAATTGCGAATGATTTAATTAGAATTTTTTTAAATAATTGAATTTCCAAGAAGAAATTTATTGCTTTTAAAAATAATTGAATTTTTGTTATCACTATTGTTATTTATAAAAATAATTGAATTTTGCAAAGAATTATATTAAAGTTTTAGACAATAATAATTGAATGTTTGTTTGGTATTTTATTAAATTTTTTTGAAAATAATTGAATTTCTGAAAAGCGTTTTATTTTTTATAAAAAATAATTGCGAAAGATTTAATTAGAATTTTTTTAAATAATTGAATTTCCAAGAAAAAATTTATTACTTTGAAAAATAATTGAATTCTTGTGATGAATATTGTTATTTACAAAAGTAATTGAATTTTACAAAGAATTTTATTAAAATACCTCAAAATAATTGAAATTTCGGGAATATTTTTGTTTTTTATCGACATAATTGAATTTTTTCGAAGAATTATTTCTCATAAATAATTGAATTCATGGGGAAAATTTAATTAAAATCTTAAAAAATAATTGAATTATTTGAAAAAAAATTTAATTAAAATTGTATTTAAAATAATAGATTTCTTTCGAACAATTTTTTTTAAATCTTTGAAAATAATTGAATTCCTGTGAAAAATTCTAATATTTTTGTAAATAATTCAATTCTTCTAAAGAATGTAAAAAAACATTTTTTCAAATAATTGATTTTTTCAAGGAATTGAAATTAAATTTTTAAGAATATTTACATTTTTTGAGCAATCTAATAAAAATCCTATTAAACTTTTAAAAAGAATTAATTCTACAGAATTTTTTTGGCAAAAATATGAAAAATTAAGAATTTCAATTATTTTAGTTTAAAACTTTTTCAAAATTTAATTATTTCTAAAAATCCACGTTATAATCCTTTTAATATTTAATTATAATCTAAAATTTTAACTGAAATTAATTTTTCAAAACTATTTTTATTAGTAAATTCTACGAGAATTAAATTATTTAAATACAAAAATGAATAATTTATTAATTTCATGTTTCTTGAAATTAAATTCTCAATAAAAAATGTTGTCAACAAATTTTTTAAATCATTAAATTCTTTGGACGAATTTTAATAAAATTTTTAAGAATAATTACATTTTTCGAGGAATTCGATTAAAATTGCATTAAAAATAATTGAAATTCTGCAATGAGTTTTATTGTTTATGAAAATAATTGAATTCCTAAAAGAATTTTATTATTTATAAAAATAATTGAATCCCTGTAAAAATGTTATTATTTTTAAAAATAATTGAATTGTTGCGAAAAAATTAAAAAAAAAATTTGTAAATAATTGAATTCCTGTAAAATTTTTTATTATTTATGAAAATAATTTATAATGTTTGCGTAGAATTTTATTCAAATTTTTTTTTAATAATGGAATTCTTTTGAAAAATTTTATTGAAATAGTAGATATTAAAAATCATTGAATTTTAGAAAACTTTTGAAAATAATTGAAATTTCGACAAGAATTTGATTAAAATTTTGTAAAATAATTGAATATCAGAGAAGAATTTTATTATTTATAAAGAGAATTGGAATTTTGACGAGAATTTTTAAAAATTTTTGAATAGAATTGAATTTAGCAACTATGTTACTGAGTTAGTTAGTAAGTTAGTAACTAACTTACTAACTTACTATTCTCCCTGGAGAAGCTGAATTCGTTGAATTTTTACAAATCGTTGACTTTGGTGTTTTATATATAAAGTAAAATTTCATTTATAGTTAAAAATAACACCAAAATAGATTATTTTAATCCTATCTGGTGTTAATTTAATCCTGGAGGGATTAAACTGTTGCAGATTATTTTAATCCATTCTGGTGTTATTTTAACACTTTACGTTTTACTGTGATAACAAGAGATTCAAAATATAGAATTATTTTGCTTCCATATATTTTTAAATATCAACATAGGAAAAAAAAGTCTGACTCCGTTTACACCTTAATTCAGCCCATGTATTTCACATAAGTCTGTCCTTGTTTAATGGGGCTGACTCCGTTTACACCTTAAATTCAGCCTCGAAAACAGGCTGAAAGTAAAACTTTTTTTTTAGTGTGAAAAATTCATATTTACTGTTCAGGCAGCAAAATATAATTTCCTGTGCCAACTTTGAAATTATGTTAAAAAAATTCCACGTTAATAAAATCGATATTTAAATGCTGAAATTTTTTACATCCTTTGTAGAATTTCCCTCCGCGTAATTAAAATTTTTTTTGCCTTCATAGCTTTACCCGGAGTTATCAATTTTCTTTCTGTGTTCAAAGAAATGCTCTTGTTAAAAAACTCTGTCTAACTTGGATGGAATTTTTCTATAACACGGAATTTAGTTGTTCAAACAAAAAACGAAATGAGGAACAAAGTTAGATGAGTACTGTAAGGATTTCATTTTTTTTTTTATTCTCTCGCAACTGGTGGTGACCTCGTCGTAGTTGAGGGTCGAAGGATATTGGTTTCCAATACTTTCCCGAGTAAAGACAAAGAACAAAGTTAGCTAAACGTGATATCACCACCTGCTTTAAAGAAATTGTTCCAACCCAGACTATTCTTACTTGCAGATTTTTTGTTGCCATTGTAAAATATTTTTGCAGTAAAACAATTTTCAATAATCGATATGCATTTATCTGCGAGTCTCCTGCGGAAAAAATGTGTATTATTTTCTCTGTAACACTACTGCGAACCGTCTGATTTTCTATCTAGACAGAAATTTTTTTTTATCTAAAATATAAAAATTTTCTTCTACTCGAATGTGTATAATTTTTTTTATTATTTTATATATTGTTAAAAAATTCTGACTTTTAAAATTTCGCTCTATTTGGAA